AGCTGTCGTTAGATTTTGGAGCTGAAAAGAGATTGCTGACACTTCTTTTAGTCAAACCACACCTGGCTGATGGTTTTATTGGTTGATAGATAAGACTGTTACTAGATCGGAATGTGTAACATGTGCAAAATAAAAGCAAAGTTGTCAATTTTTATTAATTACAATAAAATGTTTGTAATCTTTGGCTTTACTGCGTGTTTGTTTGCAGGTTCTTGCCTCTCTCATAATACGGTTGGCTCTGGCTGAGACGTTTTGTCTGAACTGTGGGATTCTGGCGCTGGATGAGCCCACCACCAACCTAGACAGAGAGAATATAGAGTCTTTGGCACACGCACTGGTGGAGTGAGTCTTTATTTAAAAAATATATATATATATACCCAGTCTTTAAACAGGAAACTCTGTCTATTTACAGCTGGGGGAACATGACGAAACAACAACTTTAATTTGCTATGTAACTAAAACATCTACTTTTGGTTTCTTTGTAGGATAATCAAGAGTCGTTCTCGCCAATGCAACTTCCAGCTCCTTGTTATCACCCACGATGAGGATTTTGTGGAGCTCCTGGGACGGTCCAACTATGTGGAGCATTTCTACAGGATCAGGAAGAACCAGGACCAGTGCTCAGAGATCACGAAATGTAACATCAACACTCTCAACTCCTACCTGCACTGATGCATGAGATCAGGTGAGAGAAGAAAGACTGTTAGTCTACAGAGGTGACGGAATCAAAGTTCAGTTTTTGGACAGTTGTTAGGCATGACCTAAACATAATGTTTATCAGCCTTCCTACACCTACCTACAAAAAGTGTATGTTGGCCTTCTTGTAAATTTAGTCGACTTCTTTCAGAAATATATACATTTAAAAAAAAAACAATCTGATTCTAATTAATTTTATTTTATGATCTGTTATGTTGGCATCAAAAAGTACTAAATGCTGCTGATTGATTAAAAACAATAATTCATAATTAAACTAATTAATCACGTTTAGTTTTTAATTAATGTAAAACAATATTCACATAAATCCTAACCATATTTAAATCTGCTCAGCCCTGGCACCAAACAAATGATATAATGTTTATATTATTATATAATTTGGGGAAACACATAGCTACTTTATGATGTGCAAAAACAGATGCTTTGTTAATTGCATTATTTATTTTTTTATGCATTAAACAATAAATATACATTTATAAATATAAATAAAAAATATAATTTTTTTAATACATTTTTCCCCACCCTAATTTGGATACTTAAAAATGTAAAAATGTCTTTACATAATATCTGTCACTGTGAGGAGCACGGAGCGAGGAGACGCAGAGTCCAATTCAAACATACAGTCTTTAATAACATCCAGGGAGCTGGACCTCAAATAGGGCAGATAACAAGGGGCAGACAGGTGAGGAGGATAACTAATAATGAGAAACACCTGGAACTAATAGAACTAAATGGGGACAGGAACAGGAAGGACCAAATAAGGACAAACAGGAACAAAACGGGAACATAGGGTAAATGTACATATTAAGCACAGTTACATTTTTGAACTCAGATTATAAAAAGACAAAATAATTTATTATCCTACTTGATGTCTTAACCAATTGATGTGTTTGTTACTACATACCTCCTGTAATTTCAAGTCATTCAGATAATTACACAGAGATATGGGTCTCCATGTGTTGACACTGTCTGGCGACCATTTTGAAAGCTGTCTGAAAACAAAAGAGGAGCCCTTTAAATGTGCATTTTTTTAGATGTTTAAGCCTTTACTGTAAAATTAAGAGATTAATGTTCAGACTTTTGCATATTATAACCTGGAACTTGGATGTGGAAAGTAATTACAGTTAGATCCAAAAGATAGTTTTAGCAACATAGTGCAGTTGCTACAGAACACAGTTAGCTGACTAGCTGTATAAGATTGTGTGCTACGCTAATATATTACTTCACAGGCATTACTGGCTTGTATTTTTACATCCATAATATTATAAATTGACAGTTTATTGCTGGTCTGTGGTTTTAAACTGCTGTAATTTTTAAAGATTTCATATTATTGTAAGGTGAGCTTGAAGGGTACACTACTATGAAAATCACACAGCTTTAGTGATACATCAATAAGAAAAAGTATAGTTCCATAGATATTGTTAATAATAGTTGTTCATATTAAAATATGTGTGAACTTAATACATGACCTAGATTATTTATTTAGCAAAATCTTGTCATTTTAATAATTATTACATGAAATGTATTAAAAAATTGTTGCTGCTCCAATTAAGCTCAGTGTGCTCTCTTTAAGCTCTTCCACATTGAACGTCTATGTAAATACTTCATAAACAGACTTTAAATATTAACTGATGGTCGTCACTTTAAGTTGATCTTAATAAAATGATTAATATCTTATTTTAACAGCTTTAAGATGACACAATCGAGACATAACTATAGTTTATGCCCAAAGATGAAAGAGGCATGTCTTCCATTCAAAGAAGGAGCCAACAGAAACCTGTCGTATAGGTCCAGGAAAAAAAAGCAGCTAAAGGCTGGAATACGCTACACTACTTTTAAAATGTGAACAGATTTTTAAAACACTAGGCTTCATACACTTACCTACTTTGTAAATAGTTTGTTTTTTAAATATGTGTTACTTCGCTGAATGTGGACTAGTCTAGATGTTGCAATGTGCTTAAATGACACTTCACTATGAATGTATAACTGATCAAATTGAGTGCCTTATTGCCTGATTTTAGTGTTGTTGTTTTGTTTTTTTTGTACCTTCAAATAAAACTTTTTTTTTCAATTATTCTTTACAAATGTTGTTCAAAATAAACAAGAATTTTGAATAAAACATGATGTGAGCTTAATAGGAACAGGGCTGTGCTTAAAGTGTACAAAAAAAGTACCCATTAAGCACAGCCAGACTTTTTGCATTTAATGTATATCTTAATTCAAATGCTTTTGTCACTTAAAATAAAATTTAATATTTTTGTGTGAGAGATTCATATTTTATTTTAATGTAACTTCTTGTACTAAAACCAATATCTTGTGCACTAAAAATGACTCAATGTAGATTTTGGTGAGCTTAATAAACATTGACATTACTCCCCCCCTCCCGGAAGGCACATCCCGTGCCGTAACAATACCACCGGGGGTGGGGTGGGCGCCCTGGAGGCTGGTGCAAGACAGGGACACGGGAAGGCCTCCAGGGCGGATCAGGGAGCTCCGGGAGCCATGGCGGAGCAGGCAGGTCAGGTTGCCATGGTGGAGCTGGTAGCTCAGGGGGCCATGGCGGAGCAGGCAGTTCAGGTTGCCATGGCGGAGCTGGTAGTTCAGGAGGCAATGGCGGAGCAGGCAGTTCAGGTTGCCATGGTGGAGCAGGGGACTCAAGAGGCCATGGCAGATCAGGGGACTCCGTAGGCCATGGCGGAGCCTTAGCCGGCCACGGGCATTTGGCCAAAAAAAAAAATGTATTGGGGAAAATTAGGAATTCTGGGGGGGATGCTCTGGAGGAGCAGGGACTGGAGGGCGCTCTGGAGGTGCAGGGCTGGCTAACTCGGAGGAATCGGGAAACGAAGGAGGGCTGGACGGGACCAGCGGAGACGAAGGAGACTCGGGGGACGATGGAGAGCTGGACGGGACCAGCGGAGACGAAGGAGAACTTTCTGGAGCGGATTCTGGGGTGAGGATAGGAGCCGAGAACTCTGGAGGTAGCGCCATGTCCAAGAGCGCGGAGTCAGCGGCGGCCGGCAGGCTTGACGGCGAGCTGGTTCTGGATTGGGGACTGACACTCTTCAGACACCGGAGGATCCCTTCCCTCCAGCTCAGTCCAGTGGTGTCTGGGAGGGCCCCGATCCAGAACAGAGAGTTAATTGTGGCATCGTCCAACGCCGTAGTAGCGGCGAGCCCGCAGAATTCCCAGGCGAACTCTATGAAGGGAAGATCCCTGCGGGCTAGAGCGGAGAAGCGAGCAGCTATTTCCATGGCCGCGGAGAGAAATAGGAAAACAAAAACTTTCAAAAACGGAAAAGAAACACGGGGAGGAGAGGCACCGCTCACATTTTGTTGGTCTGGAATTCTGCTACTGTGAGGAACATGGAGCGAGGAACGAGGAGACGCAGAGTCCAATTCAAACATACAGTCTTTTATAACATCCAGGGAAACAGGAAAACACACGTAGCAAGGGTTGACATCAACAATTCCAGACAAGGGAGAACAGAACGGGCTAGAACTCAAATAGGGCAGATAACGAGGGGCAGACAGGTGAGGAGGATAACTAATAATGAGAAACACCTGGAACTAATAGAACTAAATGGGGACAGGAACAGGAAGGACCAAATAAGGACAAACAGGAACAAAACGGGAACATACAGGTGACAATATCAAAGGATCAACCCAAGTTGCATATATTTTAAAGAAATAATGCACATGCACACATCTAGTGTTTTACAATAAGTTTTGAATGATAAAATGATACATACAATGTGAGGAATTATTTAAATATTGTCTTTTTTAAATCAATGTCTAGTATCAGATATTTGTGGAACATGTCCATAGTTAAAGTGATGAAATACATCTGTGGTTATTCTGCTAGGACATGAGGGGAAAAAATTAATTCAGTTAAAAAATAGATTAGGTAATAAAAATGCATAAGAAATTAGTTTTGAGAATGTTATTTGGTTTGATCATTTGTAATCAATGAAATCCACACATACATTTTAATCGGGAATTTTATGAGACTCACCAATGTGTCATTAGAGGGATTACTTGCCATATATGTTAAAATTAGCTTTAACATTTAAGTTCAGCCAACCAACATCTTAAAATTAGATTTCAAATGTTCCGGACATTTGCTGCCGTCATCTGTATGACTAATGCATCTCCAATGTATCAATGCAACTGCAAGTACAAACACATGCAGATTTGCTGCAAAAGCTATCAGTATTGATCGTTTGATTTTGCAGTATTGAAACTTATTTGCACATCGCTTGTGTAGCCTTCAGCACCCCATTTAGAGGCCTGTTACCCAAAATCATTATGATCTTTCTTGGCAGTTTGTCAGTGTCAGTTCCAGGAAATCAAGACAATATGACAAGTTATCAACCACATCTCAAGATATTCACCGAGCGCACCGTTATCAGCCAATGAACGAAGCTTAGCTTACGATGCAAAAAGGAAGCTTGGTAGCCAAGTCTTGCCGTTTTGAGAGTATATATACACAGCATTCAGCAGTGGTGGAATCAGGTAGCTCTGGCCTTCAAACAACCAAAGTCTTGAGAGACCCAAGCAGACAGACAAAATGAAGACTATACTACTGCTCGTTTTCGCTGTCTTGGTCTCCAGCGCTCCTGCGGAACACAACGATAAGAACTTATTGGGAGAGATTATTGATGAGCTGGACAAAGCAGTGAACATTTTCTCAAAAGAGAACAAGGTAAGATTTAACTAAAGGATAGTAACTATAGCAAGCCAAAACTGTCTGTTAATATACAGGGCCGAATGTAATTGCAATATTCATTTTGCCTGTTCTTTCTAGGGAAATGAAATCTTCCTGAAAAAACTGCAAATGGTTGGCTGTAAGGTGAGATGATACACATGGATTTTTATGGACTCACATCATTAGAATAATAAGATAGTATATTAATATTTGGGTGTCTTTTATGTGCTTTATTGGGTTTGTTCACTTTTGTTACTCTCCTATGTGGTAACATTTATGAGGCTGAAGCAAAAAATATTTTGTACAATCAAATTTGAAGGTTTCAAGCCCTGGACTTACGTGTGATTTCAATACCTTTGCAGCGTGAGGTATTCTGCCAGGCTGAGCAAGAACTGATAAAGAAGGTTTCTGGGCTGTCTGGTGCCAAATTTGACCATTTGCGTATTGACAAGAAACTAATGAGGACTTTAAACATGTATAACAAGCGCCATGTGGTAAGTTGAACTCTGGAACTTGATGTTTTCTCTATGTCCTATTTGAGTAGAATAACCATAACATTTACTTTTATTTCAGAAAACCTGCAAACCTGCTGATGAAGACCAAGATGAAATACTTCTGCATGCTTTCTTGAAAAATCTCTTGACGTGTGTTAAGAGTGCATATAGCCATGTCAAGTAAAATTAATTTATGAAGGATCAATTTTTTTTTGTCTTTTTGAGAGTATTATTTTGTTTACATTGACTGTAGCAGTATGTAATTTTGTACCTGAAATAAATTTGCATAAATATAATTGTTCAATCTTAAATATGGTCTGATGTTTTACAGTGCACGTTTTGTGCAGTATTTCTGTGAAGTGACTGAAAAGAACTTTTCAATGAAGCGGTGAGTGCACACGAATATACTATGCGCTTTTAGAGAGAAACCCATGATGCATGTAGCGCACATGTCAAACTTCTGTCCTGCAGAGTGTAGCTCCAAAACACCTGCCCAGAAGTCTCTAGTAATACTGAAGACCTTGATTAGCTGGTTCAGGTGTGTTTAATTAGGTTGGAGCTAAGCTCTGCAGGACAGGGGCTCTTCAGGAGCTGAATTTGACACCCCTTGATGTAGTGGCTTCTTGACCTTTTGTCCAGCACTGCAACGTCCATGCATGTCCAAAGCAGTGTCTCCTTTAACCATTACCACTTTATAGTTGTAGGTCCTTATTTTAGTTTACCTCAGGAAGTGAAAAACAGAGGTTGGGTTAATTGTGTTATTTGTTTGAATGCATTAATCAGCAAATGTTGAAAACCTAGTTGTATTTATTTTAAAGTTCTTTTTAAAAATTATATAAAAATGCCTCAGAAATTAGTTTTGAGAAAAGATGTCATTTGGTATGATCGTATTTATGCAATGAATTTCATACATGCATTTAAAATGTGACTTGAGTGTCCAATTTTTTCAAGCCACTGTATGAGACTCACCAATGTGTCATTAGAGGGATTACTTGTCATATGTATGGTTTTAAAATTGGTTTTTACATTCGAATTGCCAACTAACATCTTAAAATTAGATTTCGAACATTATTTATCATCGGACATTTGGTGCCGTCATCTGTATGACGAATGCATCTCCAGTGTATTCACGCAACTGCAAGTACAAACACCTGCAGATTTGCTGCAAAAGCTATCAGTATTGATTGTTTGATTTTCTAATAATGAAACTTATTTGCACAAGCAAACATAGTCAAGATGTGGCCTTCAACACCCCATCTAGAGGCCTGTTACCCAGCATCATTATGATCTTTTTTTATGATCAGTTTGTTGGTGTCAGTTCCAGGAAATCAGGACAATATGATTTCAAAATGTATCAACCACTTAATTAAGATATTCAGTGAGTGCACTGTTGCAAATTATGTAAAAACGAAGATTGGTAGCCAAGTCTTGCCTTTTTGAGAGTATATATACACAACATTCAGCAGTGGTCTGTCGCCTCTGGCTTGCTTAGTTGGGGACACTTCATTTCCAGCAATACCGTTGACTTGATTGCAAAGATACTATTTAAACTGAGGTGGATGTTGACATCACTGAATTCAATGATGAACTGTCTTTAACTGAAAAATTTGTGTTTACTATTGTCATTTTGCATTATTGACACACTATTTTCCTAATTAATGCTGTTCAGTTGCTTTGACACAATCTGTATTGTTAAAAGCGCCTTGACTTGACTTGGTGGAATCGGGTAGCTCTGGCCTTCAAACAACCAAAGTCTTGAGAGACCCAAGCAGACAGACAAAATGATGAAGACGATGCTCACTTTCACTGTATTCGCCCCCAGCATTCCTGCGAATCTCAGCGAAATGACTTTACCGGCAGAGCTTGAGGATGAGCTGGACATGGCAATGAGCAATGTCCTGAAGGAGACCAAGGTCAGATTTAACTAAAGGATGGTAACTAGTATAGTAACTGTAGTAAGCTAAAACTGTCTATACTTTAATATACAGAGCAGAATGTGATTGCAATGTTCATTTTACCTGTTATTTCTAGGAAAAGAAAATCTTACTGAAAGATGCGATAAGTGACAAGATTTTAGTGGAAGCAACTGATGATGAGCTGGACACGTCAATGAAAAATGTCTCAAAGGAAAAAGAGGTAATATTTAACTAACTAGTATAGTAAGCCTAAACTGCCTACTTTAATGTGCAGAATATGATTGCAATGTTTATTTTACCTGTTATTTCTAGGGGGGGGAAATCTTACCAAAAGGTGCAATAAGCAATAAGACTTTACCAGAAGAGCTTGATGATGAGCTGAACAAAGCAGTGAAACATGTCCCAAAAGAGGCCGAGGTAAGGTTAACTAAAGTGTAGTAACTAGTAGGCTGTAGTACTATAGTAAGCCTAAACCGGCCACTTTAATATGCGGAATGTGATTGCAATATTCATTTTACCTGTTATTTCTAGGAAAAGAAAGTCTTACTGAAAGTTGCGATAAGCGATAATACTCCTAAAAGTCACAGCGATAAGAAATTATTGGGAGAGATTATTGATGAGCTGGACAAAGCATTGAGAATTTTCTCAAAGGAGAACAAGGTAAGATTTAACTGAAGGATAGTAACTATAGCAAGCCAAAACTGTCTGTTAATATACAGGGCCGAATGTAATTGCAATATTCATTTTCTAGCACCTTTTCCCTTTCTAGGGAAATGAAATCTTCCTGACAAAACTGCAAATGGATGGCTGTAGGGTGAGATGATACACGTGGATTTTTATTGTCTCGCAGCACTAGTACAATAACTACTACAGCATATTAAGCTTATACGCTTGACTGTGTTCAGCTCTTTTTCCATTTCTGATAATCAAATCAAATCTGACAATCAAATTCAGAGGATTCAAGCCCTGTCTTACGTGTGATTTCAATACCTTTGCAGCGTGAGGTATTCTGCCAGGCTGAGCAAGAACTGCTAAAGAAGGTTTCTGGGCTGTCTGGTGCCAAATTTGACCATTTGCGTTTTGGCAAGAAACTAATGAGGACTTTAAACATGTATAACGAGCGCCATGTGGTAAGTTGAACTCTGGAACTTGATGTCTTCTCTATGTCCTATTTGAGTAGAATAACCATAACATTTACTTTTATTTCAGAAAACCTGCAAACCTGCTGATGAAGACCAAGATCCAATCCTTCTGCATGCTTTCTTGAAAAATCTCTTGACGTGTGTTAAGAGTGCATATAGCCATGTCAAGTAAAATTAATTTATGAAGGAACCTTTTTTTTGTATTTATGAATGTATTATTTAATTTGATTTGACTGTTGCAGTATATAATTTTGTACCTGACGGAATTTTGCATAAATATATTTATTTCATTCTTAAATATGGTCTGTTTTTTATAAAGTACAGATTTAGTGCAGTATTTCTGTGCAGTCACTGGTTTAAAAATGTGAACTATATTACTTGCACTGAAAAAAAATAAAATAAGAGCATTACACACTTAAGATTTACACTGTCTATACATTATCTATTACTTTTTTGTGTTCCTGATATTTTAAGATTCTTTACATTTTATATTGTGTGACTTTATATTTTATCCATGCAAAATGATGACAGTGATGGACAAATCTGCAAAATTATTAAAACTGTGAAAAACAATCATTGTTATATTATCTGCGATCTTTATATTTATCATATGTTCTGTAGTCCACAAGGACCCTGTACAAGCCACACTGATTAATAGTCATGCATGGAGCTATTAATCCTTCATTTATTCATACAATTTATAATTTATGCTTGTTTAATATTCTATGATGCTAATAAGAGATGAGTGTAATTTTTCTTGAATGAGATGTCTGTGTTAAGTGGATCACAGAGGCTTTGATACGACTTGATCAAATTATAATAATGATAATAATAACAATGGGAGACAGATAACAACACATTGCTTTCTCAATCATACTTGATATCTCTATATGCTTCGTGCGGTTCCTGTTTCACTAATTCAAAATTCATTCAGCTTAAACATTTTTCATTGTGTTTTCTGAGAATCAAACCCATGACCTGAGTGTTACTAGCACTGTGCTCTACCAGTTGCACTAGTTTTAGGAAGAGGTCTTAGTCAGTCATATATAGTCATATATTAGTCATATATATATTATATATATATATATATATATATATATATATATATATGTGCGTGCGTGCGTGCATGTGTGTGTGTGTGTGTGTGTGACTGACCCTGGAGCACAAAAGCAGTCTTAAGTCGCTGGGGTATATTTGTAGCAATAGCCAACAAT